TTGACAATTCTTGAGACAAAGATCCTGTGTGTTTATCCACAGAAGAGATGCCAAAAACATCAGCTTGAAAAATAATTTCTAGGGACATAATCCATTTTCTATGACTAATTTGATCTTTGGTCATTTTACCTATTGGGATTTTAGGTAGTTTTGTGTCAGGGCTTTTAAGGAAAAATTTCTGGTATGCTTATCTTTCTATTCCCCAGTTCAATGTCTGGCATTTATCTATGATCATACCTTTGCCCTTTGGCTAACAAAGGCTTACAAATCTGGAAATTTGTAGTGGGTTGTGCTGAAGAGCACAGCTCCTTCACTTGCTTTCTCCAGAAGCTGTGTGTGTGTCATTTCTATAGTGTTTTCAGCCCAATAAAGGAAACCCAGACTATGTCTAGACTGCCCCCTCTTGTGCAATAAAATGCTAATGAGGCAAAGCATGGAATATCGCCACGTCTCATTTGCATAGATAATGAGTCTCTGTTTTTGCGCAGGAGGCTTTTGCGCAAAAAGGAGCCATCTACACAGCTCCTTTTTGCACAAAAACCCCCTCTTAAGCAAGAGCCATTCTTCCTAATTTTTTCAGGAAGAATGGCTCTTGTGCAAAAGCCTCTTGCGCAAAAACGGCCCTTAATTAATTATGCAAATGAAGTGTGGCAATATACTAATCCGTGCTTCATTTTCATAGGCTTTTGTGCAAGAGGGATGCAATGTCGACGTAGCCATAGAATGCCAATACAGATGCCATGTATATGTGTTTTTTGCCATCTAATCAACTGTCCACTCAGGATTGCACCAAATTTACCAAACTCTTTCACATTCAGCAGCCCACATTTATAACAATACTTGGGTACTTCTTTCCTGGGTCAGATTCGAACCTTGTTAAGGTTAAACTCTCTTATGCCTATCATTATCCTAATCCCAATTCTATCCCATGCCCTGAGACATCCAGCTTCCATTCTTTTGCTATATTTTTCAATCAACTGATATCAGGAACAAATACAAAATATATAAAGGTGTTCTGATCCCTGAACTCTCCATTAGTGCAAAGTTGTTGTTGAGACAGCTTAACTGGACACTGGAGAATTCATGCAGTGTAGAAGGAGCATCATGTTGTGGAGCAGCTTCTACACATACACCTGTCTCATCCAACTGTACAAAGGGCTTGATCAAAGTCTAGTTGCTGTCATGGAAGGTCATAAACGGAATCTTTCTTCTTCTAGGGCTAAACAGGGAATAGGGCCCCTCGAGTTTCTTGCTGTACCTCTTTGTGAAAGCTGTGCATGCAATGAAGTTCTGTTATGCTGCCGGCCTCGAGATCATCATGACAAATAACACATAGATCCGAATCTTCATCCTTCAAAAGAACATAAGTCACTGTCAGTCATAGGATGACTTTAATCCAGAAAAAAATTGTGGCAGAATAACCAAATTGTATTGGGTAAATTAGCAAATCAAAGAGTGCTCTTACATATGGGGTGCGTCTAGACTGGCAAAATCTTGCCAGCTGTCTAAACTGGCCGCGAGAATTTGCACAAGAACACTGACAATCTAATGTAAGATTGTCAGTGTTCTTGCGCAAGAACTCGGGCGCTCCCACTCGGGAAAAAGCCCTCTTGTGCAAGTGTTCTTGCGCAAGAGGGCCGGTGTACACAGGGACAGGAATTTTTTATGTAAGAAAGCTCCGATGGCCAAAATGGCTGCCAGAGCTTTCTTGCACAAAAGCGCGTCTATACAGGGCATGGATGCTTTTGCGCAAAAGCAAATCTTTTGCGCAAAGGCACTTGCCAATACAGATGCTCTCTTGCGCAAATACTTTTAATGGAAAAACTTTTCCATTAAAAGTATTTGTGCTAAATCATGCCAGTGATTTTCTGTGTAGATCTGTGAGCAGATTTATCTTCTAATGACCAAATTCTGTGCTTGGAACCCAGCCTGAATAAGTTGTCCAGGCACTCGTGATGTGTATAAGGGAAAAACATCCAAGAATTCTTCCCTGCAGCCTGCAGAGCAGAAGCAGAGATCTTCTTTGATTCATACTTCAGCCTCATGAGTAGAATAAATGTATCTACGGGTACGTCTAGACTACAGGCTTTTGTCAACAGAAGTTTTGTCGACAGATACTGTCGACAAAACTTCTGT